CTGTTCGAATATTTCTGTCTTGATACCGACCTTCGTCTTCATCTTGGGACTCCCTTTGCCTGCTTCCGAATATGTCTTTGATACCGACCTTCGTCTTCATCTTGGGACTCCCTTTGCTGCTTCCTGTTCGAATATTTCCTGTCTTGATACCGACCTTCGTCTTCATCTTGGGACTCCTTTGCCTGCTTCCTGTTCGAATATTCTGTCTTGATACGACCTTCGTCTTCATCTTGGGACTCCCTTTGCCTGCTTCCCGTTCGAATATTCCTGTCTTGATACCGACCTTCGTCTTCTTCATCTTGGGACTCCCTTTGTCTGCTCTCCGTTCGAATATTCCTGTCTTGATACCGACCTTCGTCTTCTTCATCTTGGGACTCCCTTTGCCTGCTTCCCGTTCGAATATTCCTGTCTTGATACCGACCTTCGTCTTCATCTTGGGACTCCCTTTGTCTGCTTCCCGTTCGAATATTCCTGTCTTGATACCGACCTTCGTCTTCTTCATCTTGGGACTCCCTTTGTCTGCTTCCCGTTCGAATATTTCTGTCTTGATACCGACCTTCGTCTTCATCTTGGGACTCCCTTTGTCTGCTTCCTGTTCGAATATTTCTGTCTTGATACCGACCTTCGTCTTCATACTCTCTGCTTCCCGTTCGAATATTCCCGACCTTCGTCTTCATCTTGGGACTCCCTTTGTCTGCTTCCTGTTCGAATATTTCTGTCTTGATACCGACCTTCGTCTTCATCTTGGGACTCCCTTTGTCTGCTTCCTGTTCGAATATTTCTGTCTTGATACCGACCTTCGTCTTCATCTTGGGACTCCCTTTGTCTGCTTCCTGTTCGAATATTTCTGTCTTGATACCGACCTTCGTCTTCTTCATCTTGGGACTCCCTTTGTCTGCTTCCTGTTCGAATATTCCTGTCTTGATACCGACCTTCGTCTTCTCATCTTGGGACTCCCTTTGTCTGCTTCCTGTTCGAATATTCCGTCTTGATACCGACCTTCGTCTTCTTCATCTTGGGACTCCCTTTGGTTCGAATATTCCTGTCTTGATACCGACCTTCGTCTTCTGGGACTCCCTTTGTCTGCTTCCGTTCGAATATTCCTGTCTTGATACCGACCTTCGTCTTCTTCATCTTGGGACTCCCTTTGTCTGCTTCCTGTTCGAATATTCCTGTCTTGATACCGACCTTCGTCTTCATCTTGGGACTCCCTTTGTCTGCTTCCCGTTCGAATATTCCTGTCTTGATACCGACCTTCGTCTTCTTCATCTTGGACTCCTTTGTTGCTTCCTGTTCGAATATTCCTGTCTTGATACCGACCTTCGTCTTCATCTTGGGACTCCTTTGTCTGCTTCCGTTCGATTTCTGTCTTGATACCGACCTTCGTCTTCTTCATCTTGGGACTCCCTTTGTCTGCTTGTTCGAATATTCTGTCTTGATACCGACCTTCGTCTTCATCTTGGGACTCCCTTTGTCTGCTTCCTGTTCGAATATTCCTGTCTTGATACCGACCTTCGTCTTCTTCATCTTGGGACTCCCTTTGTCTGCTTCCGTTCGAATATTCCTGTCTTGATACCGACCTTCGTCTTCTTCATCTTGGGACTCCCTTTGTCTGCTTCCCGTTCGAATATTCTGTCTTGATACCGACCTTCGTCTTCTTCATCTTGGACTCCCTTTGTCTGCTTCCTGTTCGAATATTCTGTCTTGATACCGACCTTCGTCTTCTTCATCTTGGGACTCCCTTTGTCTGCTTCCTGTTCGAATATTCCTGTCTTGATACCGACCTTCGTCTTCTTCATCTTGGGACTCCCTTTGTCTGCTTCCTGCTATTTTGTCTTGATACCGGCCTTCGTCTTCTCATCTTGGGACTCCCTTTGTCTGCTTCCTGTTCGAATATTTCTGTCTTGATACCGACCTTCGTGTTCTTCATCTTGGGACTCCCTTTGTCTGCTTCCCGTTCGAATATTCCTGTCTTGATACCGACCTTCGTCTTCATCTTGGGACTCCCTTTGTCTGCTTCCCGTTCGAATATTCCTGTCTTGATACCGACCTTCGTCTTCTTCATCTTGGGACTCCCTTTGTCTGCTTCCCGTTCGAATATTCCTGTCTTGATACCGCCTTCGTCTTCTTCATCTTGGGACTCCTTTGTCTGCTTCCTGTTCGAATATTTCTGTCTTGATACCGGCCTTCGTCTTCTTCATCTTGGGACTCCCTTTGTCTGCTTCCTGTTCGAATATTTCTGTCTTGATACCGGCCTTCGTCTTCTTCATCTTGGGACTCCCTTTGTCTGCTTCCCGTTCGAATATTCCTGTCTTGATACCGACCTTCGTCTTCATCTTGGGACTCCCTTTGTCTGCTTCCGTTCGAATATTCCTGTCTTGATACCGACCTTCGTCTTCATCTTGGGACTCCCTTTGTCTGCTCTCCGTTCGAATATTCCTGTCTTGATACCGACCTTCGTCTTCTTCATCTTGGGACTCCCTTTGCCTGCTTCCCGTTCGAATATTCCTGTCTTGATACCGACCTTCGTCTTCTTCATCTTGGGACTCCCTTTGTCTGCTTCCCGTTCGAATATTCCTGTCTTGATACCGACCTTCGTCTTCTTCATCTTGGGACTCCCTTTGCCTGCTTCCCGTTCGAATATTCCTGTCTTGATACCGACCTTCGTCTTCTTCATCTTGGACTCCCTTTGTCCTGCTTCCCGTTCGAATATTTCCTGTCTTGATACCGACCTTCGTTCTTCATCTTGGGACTCCCTTTGTCTGCTTCCCGTTCGAATATTCCTGTCTTGATACCGACCTTCGTCTTCATCTTGGGACTCCCTTTGCCTGCTTCCCGTTCGAATATTCCTGTCTTGATACCGACCTTCGTCTTCTTCTCTTGGGACTCCCTTTGCTGCTTCCCGTTCGAATATTCCTGTCTTGATACCGACCTTCGTCTTCTTCATCTTGGGACTCCCTTTGTCTGCTTCCCGTTCGAATATTCCTGTCTTGATACCGGCCTTCGTCTTCTTCATCTTGGGACTCCCTTTGTCTGCTCTCCGTTCGAATATTCCTGTCTTGATACCGACCTTCGTCTTCTTCATCTTGGGACTCCCTTTGTCTGCTCTCCGTTCGAATATTCCTGTCTTGATACCGACCTTCGTCTTCATCTTGGGACTCCCTTTGTCTGCTTCCCGTTCGAATATTTCTGTCTTGATACCGACCTTCGTCTTCATCTTGGGACTCCCTTTGTCTGCTTCCCGTTCGAATATTTCTGTCTTGATACCGACCTTCGTCTTCATCTTGGGACTCCCTTTGTCTGCTCTCTGTTCGAATATTCCTGTCTTGATACCGACCTTCGTCTTCATCTTGGGACTCCCTTTGTCTGCTTCCTGTTCGAATATTCCTGTCTTGATACCGGCCTTCGTCTTCTTCATCTTGGGACTCCCTTTGCTTGCTTCCCGTTCGAATATTCCTGTCTTGATACCGACCTTCGTCTTCTTCATCTTGGGACTCCCTTTGTCTACTTCCTGTTCGAATATTCCTGTCTTGATACCGACCTTCGTCTTCATCTTGGGACTCCCTTTGCCTGCTTCCCGTTCGAATATTCCTGTCTTGATACCGACCTTCGTCTTCTTCATCTTGGGACTCCCTTTGTCTGCTTCCTGTTCGAATATTCCTGTCTTGATACCGACCTTCGTCTTCATCTTGGACTCCTTTGGTTCGAATATTCCTTCTTGATACTTCGTCTTCATCTTGGGACTCCCTTTGCTGCTTCCGTTCGAATATTCTGTCTGATACCGACCTTCGTCTTCGGGACTCCCTTTGTCTGCTTCCTGTTCGAATATTCCTGTCTTGATACCGACCTTCGTCTTCTTCATCTTGGGACTCCCTTTGTCTACTTCCTGTTCGAATATTCCTGTCTTGATACCGACCTTCGTCTTCATCTTGGGACTCCCTTTGCCTGCTTCCTGTTCGAATATTCCTGTCTTGATACCGACCTTCGTCTTCATCTTGGGACTCCCTTTGCCTGCTTCCTGTTCGAATATTCCTGTCTTGATACCGACCTTCGTCTTCTTCATCTTGGGACTCCCTTTGTCTACTTCCTGTTCGAATATTCCTGTCTTGATACCGACCTTCGTCTTCATCTTGGGACTCCCTTTGCCTGCTTCCCGTTCGAATATTCCTGTCTTGATACCGACCTTCGTCTTCTTCATCTTGGGACTCCCTTTGTCTGCTTCCTGTTCGAATATTCCTGTCTTGATACCGACCTTCGTCTTCATCTTGGGACTCCTTGCCCCTATTTCCTGATCTAATACTCGCGGCCTGTTCCTGGTCCTCGTCCTCATCTCGAGCTTCCATGTTCAAATTTCCTTTTCCTTCCTGTGTTTCCTTTTCTTCTTCGGTCTGAGTGCTTATTTCTTGTTCATTCGTAATTTTACGCCAGTTTCCCTTGTCCATCTCGTTTACTTGTATTTTCTGCTTAGCTTCTAACAGTGTCTTTCCTTCTTGATTCGTCATTTCCTTGCGACTCCTTTGAAATTCTTGCTTTTTCAGGGCTTCTTTCTTTCTCATTTCTTCTTGATCTTCTACATCTACTTGCCGTTTGTTTTCATGTGTTTGCTTTGCTCTGTCTCCTTTCTTCCTCGTCTCCTCCTCTGCCTTGTCTTCTACTTTTCTCTTTGTCATGTCATCTTGTTTTTGTTTTGTGTTTCTTCTGTGTCCTCCATCAGAGCTGTCGCTTCTTTCGTTATCGTATCTATCATCGAGATCATCTTTGTCGTCTTCGTTTTCGCTTTGGTCCCTTGGTTTGTTCTCATCTTCATAATTCATTTTGCTGCACACTTTTCCTTCTCTTTTATCCCCATCTTTACTCTTGTTTTCAGCTACTTCCTCGTTTACACTTTCATTCTCATTAACCTCCCCCTTTCCTCTTCCTTCGGGTGGAGAGGCTTTCTGTCTACCTTCATCCATTAACTTCTCTTCCTTCTTCTTTTTTCTTCTTTCTCCTTTTCACTGTTTTGTTTTTTGGTGGGGGGATAGTATATATAGTAACAACACGAATTATGACACTGTATGACAATAATAAATGTATTAATAATCACATTTAGTTAAACTAGTACAAAAATCATTAATAACAGTGTGATCAATAATAAATGTATTGATAAACACTTTAATTATACTAGCGCAATGATACTGGAATCAGTAACAGAGGTATATCACCGGTGATCATATCAGCGATACTATTAAAAGTGGTAGTATGAAGATATCACCAGTAATACCAGTAATAGTACCAAGAGTAGTGGTAACAATAACACAATAATAGTGGTATCAAAATAATAGCACAGTACTTGTATCAGCAATTTCTTGGATAAATGTGATATAAGTGTGCTGATAAAAGTGACATTAAATAGTTATAGATGTAATAGTATTAACATTAATGACTGTACTACAAACTACTAAATGTAATGATAGTGTCCAGAGCAGTATTATTAAAAGAGATATTAGTATAACCCTTCCGCGGACAAGCCCAGTAATTACTTGAGCGTTAGGGCGTTTGGGTTTTGTGAAAAAATAAAATAAAATAAAAAGCCCAGCCCTTCCTTACATCCCCTGGGAAATATGACCTACCTTACACCCTATATAGAAATACACTCTTATACCAATGTTAGAATATACCCTCTCTCTGTACTTTCTTGCCCTTTCTTATGTTAGCGATGTCACTGCGCATGTCCGCCATGTTGGTGTCTGCGTATAACAAATCCATAACATTCCCAGCGCGTTTCTCAAAGCACGAGACTGAGTTAGGCCAGCAAACAAAGTTTCTTTGACGTTATTTTGCCAGGTTAGCTGCAAGCTCATGAATTTTTGTTGATAGGAAGATAATACTGTTGGTAAGTGAATACTTTTTATTCTCGTTTCGTAGATTCGTTATCACGCGCCGTCTTACTGTAGAGGTTAAGAAACCAGACTGGATTTTTATCTCTTTATTTTGAGGAACCGAGTAAAAGTATAGTCATGTCAACAGCTGAGTGGAGAATGATGATTCCGCCTCAGGTTCGGCGGCTTAAGAACCTGACCGCCGATGTCAGCTCGGCCGATGTGGGCGGTTCCACGGCGGGAGTCGGCCAATCGCGTGTCGGGTGCGGTCCTGCGTTGACGGCCAATCAGGAGCCGCTACAGCACTCCCCCTCTAGTGTAGCGGTCGCGAAACGGACTATGGCGATCCTGAAGGGCTGCTGCAGGTGCGCGGGCTTGACTCGGTCGATGGTCACGGTGTCTTGTCCCTTAGGGCGGCGGATGGTAATCGTCTTCTCCCCTCTTCTGATGACCGGGAAGGGCCCTTCGTCGGGAGGGCAGAGAGGGGGTTTCGGGTGTTTTCTTATGAAAACGTGCGAGCAGTCTTGGAGTCCTGGGGGTATGTAGAAGTCCTGTTGCCTAGAGGGTCTCGTTGGTCGGCTGCGTACCCGTGACATTCGGTCGCAGAGCTGCCTAACGAAAGTTCCCGGCTCGATGGTGCTGGCCTTGACGAGGAAATCCGCGGGAAGGGCGAGCGTGGTTCCGTAGACCATTTCTGCGGTGGTGCACTGCAGGTCCTCTTTAAATGACGTCCGGATGTTGAGGAAGACAAGGGGAAGCTGGTCGACCCACCTCCTGTTGGAGGAGGAGGATGTTAGGGCCTGCTTCATGTGGTGGTGGAGTCGCTCGACCATGCCGTTGGCGCAGGGATGGTAGGCGGTCATCCTGACCCGCTTGGACCTGAGCAGGATCATGAGGTGGCGCCAAAGTTCGGATTCGAACTGGGCGCCGCGGTCAGTCGTGACGGTGTCCGGGGTGCCGAAGCGGGAGACCCAGATGTTAATGAAGGTCTTGGCGACTGTCGCTGCGGTGATTTCGCGGATGGGTGTGGCCTTTGCCACGATGCTGGTGGTAGGCATCGAAGAATCGCCGACGGAGAGAAGGCGGGGGTAGCCGAGGGAGACGTCGCAGAGAAGGTCATCCCGGGAGTTCGGGATCCTAACTCTCTCAAGGTTATGGGAAGACTGGCCCTCGATGAGAGGAGTCATGGACGCGTCCTGCCGTTGCTCTCTGCTGACCAGATGATAATCCACTTCGTCGTCGGTGAGGGTCGCTGCGGATATGGTAACCCTCCATAGAGCATCGGCGGCCTCGTTGTCCACGCCCCGAATGTGCCGGATGTCCGTCGTGAACTGCGAGATGTAGTCCAGGTGGCGCTCCTCGCGAGGGGATTGGCGGCGGGTCCTCGAGTGTAAGGCGAAGGTGAGGGGTTTATGGTCCGTCAGGATGTGGAATTCCTTTGCATCCACAAACGGTTGGACATGCTTCACCACGGAGTATGCTGCCAGGAGTTCTCTTCCAAAGGCACTGTACCGTGACTGGCGTGGCGAAAGGGTCTGCGAAAAGAAGGCAAGGGGTTGCCATTGCTTACCCTGACGTTGCTGGAGGACAGCACCGATGGCAGTGTCAGAGGCGTCGACCGCTATGCTGAGAGGAGCTTCCGGCAGAGGGTGGTTAAGCAGGGTGGCAGAGGCCAGGGCTTCTTTACAGGCTTAGAAGGCTTCGTTTGTCAGGGACGTCCACTCGACTTTGGTGTTTCTGCTGGCCCTGTTAGGTGTGATCAGGGCGTGAAGGGGCTTGAGGAGCTGGGCACACCCGGGGACGAACCTTCTGTAGGTTAAACATGCCCAGGAATTTCCACAGCTGTTTGTCGGTCGCTGTCCTGGGGAACTTCCTTATAGCGGTGACCTTCTCTTGCGCTGGGGTGATGCCTTGGGGGGTGAGAGTGTGGCCGAGGAAGGAGAGGGAAGCGACACCGAACTGGCATTTTCCCAGGTTGATGATGACGCCCGCTTCTTGCAGTCTGCTGAAGAGGGCGCGGAGATGACGGGCGTGGTCTGCTTCTGAGGTGCTGGCGACGAGGATTTCGTCGATGTAAGCGAAGACGCCCTCAAGGCCGCGAGTCACGTCGTTTATGAAGCATTGGAAGGTCTGAGCGGCGTTCTGGAGACCGAAGGGCATCCTGAGGAATTCGAAGAGGCCGAAAGGTGTAATGACGGCCGTCTTGGGGATGTCCTCCTCAGCGATCGGGATTTGTGGAAGGCCCGCACGAGGTCGGTCCTGGAAAAGACCGTACAGCCAGACAGCTCGTGGGAGAAGGAGTGCAGATGCGGCAGAGGGTATCTGTCGGGAGCGGTGATCGTATTCAGGTGACGTTAATCCCCGCACGGGCGCCAGTCACCATCCTTCTTCTTCACTAGATGCAGAGGGGCCGCCCATTGACTGCTGGAAGGGCGTATAATCCCCAACTGCATCATATGGTCGAACTCCGCCCTAGCACTGCGATATCTGTCGGGGGCGAGTGGACGGCAGCGAGAGTGGGCAGGGGGACCGTGGGTCACGATATGGTGCCGGACTTCGTGCCGTGGTTGGGTGGCTTGGTTGATCGGCTTGATCAAGGCCGGGAACTTCCGCAAGATGTTCTTGAAGGCGTAGGTCCTGGGAAGCACTGTATACATTAGGGGGGTACTTACCAGAGCTGGAGCAGCGTGCGTGCGGACCCCGGATTGGTGGATTAGGGCCATACCTTGAAGATCAACCATCAGACCGTAGTGCGCCAAGAAGTCGGCGCCGATGATGGGTTGTGAGACTTCGGCGACGAGGAAGATCCACTGGAATCATTGGGCGGGCTCACCTTCCAGCGAGAGGGTTCTCGCTGTAGGTGTTGATGGGCGATGTGTTGGCAGCTTCCAGAGTGCGGGAGGAGGGGAAGCGTTTATCCCTGTGGGAGGCTGGAAGGAGGCTGACCTCGGCCCCTGTGTCGACGAGGAAACGTAGGGAGGAGGAAGCATCTCGGACATACAATAAACGCCTCCGAGGTCCGCGAAAGACAGGCGCGCCCAGTTTCCGCGAACGCGGAAGCGAGGCTGGCGGTTGGGCACTGCAAAGCGCTGATGTCCCGTTCAAAGCATGGTGGCAAAGGGGTGCGAAAGCGAGGCCTGGAGTGAGAATGTTCCTGTGTCGATATCTTCTGCACAGCCTTGGATAGTGTGGCGACATGGGCTGCAAGGGCTCCCAACATCACGGCGGAGGTGGTGGTTGCGGCAGACATTGTTGCTATTGATGATGTGGGTGCCCTAGTTACGAGCATCGCATCGGCTTGCAGGGCAAGTTGCTCCAATGGGGCATCTGACACCACCAGGATTTGCTGGATATCAGTGGGCAGCCGCTTGAGGAAGAGGGAGCGCATGACGTCAGGTGGGAGCGTAGTGCCGGTGCGGGTGAGAAGGCACTGGATGTGGTGAAGGATTTCTGTGGGGGTACGGTTGTCCGCGGCGTCAGACGATAGGAAGGAGCTTAACGTGGTCAGAGGGTTAGGTGCTGCTCGCCTAAGAATGGCCTCCTTAAGCTCGTCATAAGTGGCGTACCAATGATTATGCAGGTCGCCGACGGTCAGAAGGAGTTCTGGCGGGAGGTTAGTGACCAGCAGGCGGAATTTAGTGGTCTGGGTGGTTATATTCCTGAGGAGGAATTCCTGCTCCACTTGAAAAAAAAAAAACATTCCGGCAGGCTGACCAGAGAGCAGACTGGTAGCATCCTGTGTCGCTAACATCTTTTGTAAAAACTTGGTTCACTCCGAGGGTCACCAGTGTAGAGGTTAAGAAACCAGACTGGATTTTTATCTCTTTACTTTGAGGAACCGAGTAAAAGTATAGTCAGGTCAACAGCTGAGTGGAGAATGATGATTCCGCCTCAGGTCCGGCGGCTTAAAAACCTGACCGCCGATGTCAGCTCACGACACGCGATTGGCCGACGGTGGGAGTCGGCCAATCGCGTGTCGGGTGCGGTCCTGCATTGACGGCCAATCAGGAGCCGCTACATTACAAAAGATGCACTGCTCACCGTCGAGATGGAATCACCATTTTCCTCGAAGAGCGGCCGAAGTCTAATCAAGTCAGGTTGTCGTTATTCTCATTTAAACTCTTTGGTTAATTTTAAGC